AAAAATAATGATTAACAATTATTCAAAAGATATGGTCGTCCTACGCGTTTCGTTCTCCTTGAGAACTTCCTCAGGGACCCATATAATGCTTAAAACAAATATCAAATAAATCAGAGCCTAAAAACCCATCCGCACAGTTTTCTTTATAGAGGGCTACTCCCTAGGTATTCATTGGTGGGTAGGTGGGCATCCTTTCTTATATCCTCTGGAATTGTTGGTTATCCGTTTGTGCCAGCCATCCTCACTTTTCCTTAATTAATGTTCCCGCCGGTGATTCTGAGCATCTGTCGGAACTCCTATGACGCACTTCCGTGCATTCCACGTCTTGGTAAAATAAAGATGGCCATGCGTTCCAGACTCGTATGTATCTGGAACTACATACTCCCCCTGGCTTTCTCCCGAAGGGAAAAATAAACTCTGCATTCTAAAAGCAAACTTGTGTTAATATTCTAATGTAAAATAAATGTGCAACATATTAATAATGTCACCACTGATCACTTTTAGTGCATTGCTTAACAATATAATAATGTAAACATTGTAATAGTTGCCATGATGTAGTCAAGAATTAATGTTTTCCCTTTTTTTTTTGTGGCATAATTGGAAATCATTAAAATTGGGGTGTTTTGCCTTCTTTTGAATCAACAGTAAAAGGAAAAGGGTATTAAAGGTTGAGCTTGATAGACTTCACTTTTTATCAATCTAGATTACTGTGTAACTGGTTGAAAGTTTGACACTATTAATCAAAGGCAATATTGGCTATTCAATGGGTGCTGGCAGGTGGACACTGTGCCCCATTTAAATACAAAATATTTCAGGCGACATGCAGAAATTAAAACAGAACAAAAATGTGAGTTGGAATCCATTTTGTTTTCGTAACCATTTTAGTTCAAGTTCTCTGAGTTGATAATCACTTGGCCACAGATCACGTTTTAGTGAATTGCCCTCCAGCTTTTAAGTAGGACTGTGAGGGACAATTCATGGACATTTGTCATTTCAGGAATTTGTGTGAAAGACTAGAAGGAGGGCTGATGCTAGACTTCTCTAAAAGATGAGTTTTCAAAGAATGTTTAAAGTGGCTCTGTGACAGCTATATCACTTCTCAGTATTTCATAAAGATGAAATCCTTGTAACATGCCAATATTGATATGTTCAAATATCATTGAAATTTTAACACAGTCAAAAGATATGATAAGACTAAGTAGTGACTACTTTGTCTCAAGATCTTGTCCAAAGTTAAAAAATCTGACCAAAGAAGGAGGTTTTGTTGTGAATTTCTGTCAATTCTCTACAGCTGTCGGAAAAGTGTGTCTTCTCGTTTTGTGAAAATTGGTCTGTTGAGAATCACACAGTCTCGTGGGATTCTCCATAGACTTCTCTAGATTTCATTTCATGCACAAGTGAGATGACAGCATTAACACCACTCCTTTAGGATGAAGCATTAGGAGCTGCAGTGGGGATGTGTCCTACGGGGGCATTGCTAGCTTTTTGAAACACCTGCGACTTCAGCCCAAGGTAAAACGTGATTACCCCCACATTAGCAGAGAGGTGGAGATGTCATGACATATCTGTCCTCTGTATCCATGAACAGCATGCTATTTATGCTCGTTGAAAAGCAGTTGCCCCCTCCACTAACTGTAGAGATCCGGGGCAAAAGATCCTCACATCCAGGGCTTTAGTCCCCATGACTCCCCTCTAGCAACACCTGTGGTCAGGGGTCTCTTCAGAATATTCAAACACCCCTGAAAGTGATAGAAACATTTTTAAATCGTGAAATATGAATCATTTCTACGGGTAGGTGCAGCATTAGACAGGAGAAAAATGGGAGAAGAAGAGAGACTTGAGACCTGGAACACACTAGTGGGATGGTATTTGGAGACAAGGGTTGATATAAAATGGGGTGCAATGTCAGTCAATGATCAGGAGATTGGATTATATTGTTGAACTGATGGAGGACCAGTGGAAAGACTAAACTCTAACTTTCTTCATTCTGTTTATACGTTTGGTTTAAGCAGGTTGTTTCTTTTTTTCCTAAGGATAGATGAATTCTGAACTATTACCCTTTTCACTTATAATCGAATGAAATTTGTGTATTTGTTTTGTCTTTAGTACCACTAATGACACGCAGGCGTTTATAGCTGCACATTGTGATTGTATCAAGTCTCTACCCTGGGCCCATATAAACAAGGCAGCTGTAGAGCTATGGTGTAGGGTGGCCAGCTGAGACCAGGAAAAACAGCTGACATATATTCATGATTTCCAGCTGCCAGAAGTCCTGAAAAGTGTATGTTGTGGTTCCCCTAATCTCTCGGGAAAATAAAACATGAAAAATGTGAGCAACATCTCTCTTAATCCTACTGGTGAACTGTTGCCAGTATCGTAACGCGACCTGCGATGCCTGTCTCTGTTTCTGGACTCAGTGATATTTAAGAGTAGAAAATGTGTTAGCATAAGAAATATTTCACACGTTTGCTAGAGCAGATGATATTACAGTAACATTTCATTAGCTCCTAAAATCCTTAGTTATGCAGTAGTATAATTTAAAGGTGGCAGTAAAAGGGCTTCAAGGACTAACATGTAATGTGTGAAAATCTGAAAACAACTTTTTAAATGTAAATCATTTTTTTTCAATCAATTTTTTATTGAGTCGCATTTACAACAGACGTTGCCGAACAAAAATGTTTAGAAGAGTGATGGTGTGCATGAGCAGTGACATATATCGTGATCGTAACTGAGCTAACGCAAATGAATATTGGGATATATTTTAAGATGCTATTTGCAAGTAGTCATAGAGATTAGTCCGGCCTCTTTTAAATTAAATAAAGCCATAACATTCTATAAGTGCATCTAATAGGAAAGTGAGACTAGTAAGATCTTAAAATACACGAAGTGATTAAGATCTACTGCAGGAGCAGGACGTTTCCAACACTCGAGACAACAACTTTTGTAATTTATCACGCCTTTATTTAAAATTTTCAATGTTCATTTTTTCTTGGAATATATATTTTAGCAAATTTTATTGTGCAGTTTCTATTTATTTATTATAGTAACATAGAAACATAGATTGTAACGGCAGATGAGAACCATTCGGCCCATCTAGTCTGCCCAATTTTCTAAATACTTTCATTAGTCTCTGGCCTTATCTTATAGTTAGGATAGCCTTATGCCTATCCCACGCATGCTTAAACTCCTTTACTGTGTTAACCTCTACCACTTCAGCTGGAAGGCTATTCCATGCATCCACTACCCTCTCAGTAAAGTAATACTTCCTGATATTATTTTTAAACCTTTGCCCCTCTAATTTAAGACTATGTCCTCTTGTTGTGGTAGTTTTTTTTTTTTTTAAATATAGTCTCCTCCTTTACTATGTTGATAATCTCCCTGTCTCATCTTTCCTCCAAGCTATACATGTTATATTTGATAGAGCCTAATGAGGACATGCTCTAATCACACGGGCTGATGTGTACTGTGGTGACACTGTCCCTCTTCCTCTGTATTTTGTCAAACTTGTAAAGGGAAAAAAAAGAACTCCTTGTGTAGTATATTATCCAAATTTGGTAAACAATGTATAGTATTGCAAACTGCTCACTTTTTAAAGAGCCTATGGTACTCGGCTCTAAGTGTGAAAACACTTGTGTCAATAAAGGGGACACAGACTCTTCTTTACAAACTGGACCAATGGACTTCATGTGAAGGTTCTAAAAATTACTATTTATTTAAAATTAAAAATATATATTTAATTAAACAATATATCAAAATAAGACAAAAGTAAAAGAATCCTCCTGTAGTTCTTCCCGAGACACGTTTCGCCTGCCGTCGGCTTTATCAATCGGTATGATGAACCGTATGTCCAATTCCGTATTTAAATGAATGTAAAAGACCCAATCGGTTGGTTGTTCTACTCAATATCCAATCTCTGTGCTCCCTAGTGACGTTATTCTATTCAGGTGTGTCTCCTTCCTCTAATATGGTATCACAGAAGTAACACGGCAAAACTCCCATCGCGTCATTTACGGTTTTGTTCTTTCATGGCAAATAGGGACAAACGTCTGGCAAACATTCAGTATGTATACAGGAAATGATGCGACGGGTCTCTATTCGCGTCATCTCCGATTGTCCATCGTCCATGTTTAGGAAGGGCAGAGTTTCTGGATAGGTTGGATCATATTCACGTCCTTAATGTCAAAGTGGAAGACAGTACACATCAGCCCATGTAATTAGAGCCTGTCCTCATAAAGCTCTATCAAATGTGAGTGTATCCATAATAAAGCACTAATCATCACTTTAATATCAGAAATATTACAATATAGATGTGTTTATATTTTTTAGGCTGTACTACCTTTTAATATTCAGGGTAAGTGTTTTTAGCCTTTAACGCTCCACCAAAACTGGGGTGGGTGTATATACCACACAGTTGAGTTTCATTGATTCTATAACGTTGTGTAAAGGTGGGAGGTACTTACACATAGGTGGTAGCAGCTGTTTTGTCTTAAGACTTGAATTTTGCACATTTAAAGCACCTGTTGCAAAAATAAGCACTTGTATCACTTTTACAGTATAATCCCTACCTAGGATTCTTTATGTGGTCGTCCATAGGGGTATCTGGAGGTAAGTGCAAAATGCCAGGTAAAAGTAAAACATAGAAAATAAAAACTAAAAGGTATGTGGCATAAAAAAGATAATAAAATGGCCAAAAATACTTTATTAATTAAATGCAGAATAAAACCACAACGCCTTTCACCCTTTTGGTTTTTTTTTTTCCAAGTAATATGTGCTGGGTTGGAAGATTATCTGTTGCCTCTTACTTGCGTGGCATTAATTCATCTATAAAATTAAGTTTGAATTATAACTGAAGTAAAGAGAAATGATAACAGACATGCGAGTAGGTGAACTACATTTACACTGCCAGGTGAAGATACTTGATTACTGAGATTTCAGCTTAGAATTACAAAGTATTTTCACAGCTCCTTGGTTTAAAGAAGGACATCCTGGAGTAAAGAATAGCGGGGGAATCCTGGCCTCGATCAACAGATGTGCTATCTGGCTGCCGGGCCTGTTATCCTTTCAGAGACCGGATGTATTTGGTTCCTGTGTTGTAGAGCATGTCTTTCTGATGGAGGGGCAGATTAAGCCCCTAAGGACCAAACTTCTGAAATAAAAGGGAATCATGACATGTCACACATGTTAAATGTCCTTAAGGGGTTAAATAAACATGCGGGTAACTAGGTAAACAAAATGACATGTTCTTGGTAAAACATATGTCCTACTGCATACATATACAGTTATTTACAAAAAGGTGAATTGCTAAGAATTCAAAATGAACCTTAAGTTTAGTCTGTAACAGCCAACAGCTTGGTTGATCTGATATCAGCTAGCGCACACACGTGTTGCTGCTGTTTTGAGTGCTGTATGCAAAATACCCCAAGTAATCATAAAACAGGAATGGCCAGGGGGTGGAGCTTGCCAGCGCAGCCGAGCGGACGCCATCTATTTGGGCTCAGATAAGCTAAATGATTCCCCGCGGCAAAAAGGACGAACCAGGGGCAATCCAACCCCAGCGACACCACCATCAGCATGGGGAGCTGACCCGCTGCCCACCGATGCCCTTCTTCCAGCCGCCGAAATTGGGCAAATCTAAGTGCAGTTCCGGGGCCTACAAAGCACCGGCCTACATTAGCTGGGACACGCTTCTTGGAGGTGCAGTACTTACCAGAGCCGACGAGATACCTCCACAACCCCCACAGAGTCCAACAGCAAATCCGGTGGACATGAGGCGCAAACAGCAAAAGCCCTCGCACGGAGATGTCCAGGACTCAAGGGACATAAGCACAATGCTGCAAAAGTCGGCACCATCCAAAATGGCGGCCGGGGAGAGCGGGAGCACGAGGAACACCTCAGACAGGATGGAACACAAGGGGACACAGGCCACATTGGTGAGGGATGAAATGGGCACCACACATCTTGACTCCATAACCAGCAACCTAGCCACTAAGCAGGACTTACAAACCCTCTTACTGAACATACAGAAACTACTGGCAGCGGACACAGCGGCAATTAAAAAGGACGTTCAGCAGGTCACAGACCGCATCAGTGCCACAGAGAATGACATACAAGATATCCACACAGAGATATCAACCATTCAAAACACCCTAAGCAAACTTCAGTCCGCTAACCAGGTACTTACCTCACAAATTTCAGCGGTAGAAGACCGCCACAGGCGTAATAACATCAAGATTCGCAGGGTCCCTGACACAGTAACAGCAGAGTAACTGCCCCACTACCTGCGACGCCTAGTTGCCTCTGTGCTACCGGCCCCAGCGGCTAGAAGATTTACTATTGACGGGGCGTATCGCTTACCTGGACCCACCAAGGCACAACCAGCTGCCCCCAGGTATATTATCTTCCGCTGCATATCACATCAGGACAAAGGACACTTGCTGACAGCCCTGAGGGACAAAACCCCATATACATTTGAAGACCCCCAGCTCACAGTCTACCAGGACCTCACAAGGGCCACCCTACAATGGCACAGATCTCTACAACCTATCACATCTCAACTACGCACGGCAGGGATCGCATACAGGTGGGGGACCCCACGATCCCTACTGGTATCACACGAAGGAGCCACACACAAGCTGGGAACTGTCTCCGAAGGACCAACGCTCCTGACCGCACTGGGTCTACACATGCCCACCGCTATCCCATCTGGTCCGCCGAACCCTGGGGGCTGGGATCCAGCTAACATTGTGAAATTTGAACCAAGAACTGGTGCAGCCGCACCCCCACCAACCTGACTATATAACATGCTACAGAAAATCGCACCAAGGCTGTTACCCATAGTGTGCCTGCGTTTCCTTAATGTTTGCTTGTTTTCTTTTTCTTTCATGTTATCCACAGATGTTCTACAGCTCTCTCACACTCTTGACCACCTGGCCAACCATGAAATACCACCTGGCCCACCACGCTAACGCAGCACGAGCGATATAGCCTGACACGGCCTTAAAAGGTGTCTAATATACCACACCCACGCGCGGTCACAGATCGATGATCCCCACTGGCAAACACATTTTATATACCCCCCCGCCACCCTCATGGTTAGGGGCACCCCACGCAGAGGAGAACCCCAACACCAGAGGTGCTCAGACCTACACTACTAGCATGGAGAAGGGCTACTGCCCCCCTCATAACACAACGGGCACCACCGGTCACACTCCTTACTTCACCCCTCACTCTTACTCTACTCTCCCGGTTCAACATGCAAAACACAACCCTCATGCAATCTCTAGATCGAGTCCTGCATCCCCCACTCAACCTGTCATTTGTAAATGTAATCTTGACTCGTGTTACCTTGTTTAACTACCATATAAAACGGTGCTGATACCCTAACAAGTGATATGATCTTGTACCATCATCTTAACTGTCTTGCTGATGTCTTGAAGCGTTAATATGTCTATGCAACGCACCAACAAAATAAAGAATTTAAAAAAAAAACAGGAATGGCCAAACTGTATTAATTAAAATGTTCATGGTTCTCCTCTGACCTAATTGCTGTGACTATAACTGGCAGAGATGTTTGGGAGTCCTAGTTTATATACAGGTAGACAGTCATAGGCAATGGATAAAAAAAGGAAGGGAGAGAAGGCTGTGCCTTAATAAAATGGGATGTACCAAAGTCAAAATGACAAAAATGATATATACAGTAAATCAAGTATTGTCCAAATCCAATAATATATAGATGGTAGATAAAACGTCTTGAAGGGGACAGCCAGACATGGGTAAAATCAGGGATTCTTGGATTCTTGGATGTAGAGTGCTTGTAATTCCAGAAGTGCATGGAAAACATAAAAAGAGAGCACTCCAATGGTATAATATAGTAGAAAATATTTTAAAAAAATGTATATAGAGTCAGTTCTACTCACATTTACCAGAGCTATATCCAGCTCCGGTTTGTATAGCGTGAAGTGGAATAATCCCTACTTCTGGGATATATGTGGTAGGTAAATTCTTCAGATGTTTTGGTGATAGAGGTTCCAAACAGAGAAGATAAGAAATGGCAACAATATAGTGATCACTGTAGTAATAAGACCATAAGGTGATATACAGTATAGGAGATATAAGGCTTATTCAAGTAGACAAAATGAACAGTATTTTGTTAATTTTGTCTACTTGAAGAAGCCTTAGAAGGTGAAACACGTTGTAGATATATTATTTATTTGTTATTAATAAATAAATCTTCTAAATATTTATTTTATCTGGCATCCTGATTTAAGACTTCAAGACTTTTTATCTACTATCTATCTATTATTGGATTTGGACTATACTTGATTTACTGTATATATAATTTTTGTCATCCCATCTTATTATGGCGCAACCTTCTCTCCCTTCCTTTTTTTCTATTGCATATTGTCGGGTCTTAAGAGGAAACCCCTTTCTGTTTTTAGGTGTGCTGCCTTTTCATAATATATTATATTTTCTGTGGTCGTCCTTAGCGCGGATTCTTTTTTACAATTTTCTATTGCTATAGACAGTTATAGGCAGCCTGTGTCTGTCTTAAAGGTATCTGAGGTCAGAGAACAAGACTGATATAGATCAGAAGAGATGCCACACAAGACTACTACGCATGATTTACAATGTTTTTCATCCATGTCATTGCTAGTAGGTGGTAATGCATGCTTGGGTAGACAACAAACACAACAAGCTGCATCACAAATAGTAGATACACTTAGAAAGAGATAGAAAGGTGATCCAAACATATACTACTTCTTCATACGTGGAAGACGTACAGAACAAAGGTGAATGATTGCCCACTCACATATTAGGGAGCTTCAGAGCAAGTTTTGATAGTATGCAGTGGTACATAATCCTCACTTACGGTTACACATGCTTCATCCGAAGCCTCAGTTATGTTTACTGATGGATGCCCATAAGTGGGTATTATACCACAGCATGCTATCAAAAACTGGAGCTTATTCTGAAGTTACCTAATATGTGAGCAGGTATTCATACACATTTATGAGATCCTTTTCTACAAATCTCAAAACAGAATGCACATGTCATGGTTGATTATATATATATCTTACCTATTCAATGTTACATTTTGTATATATTGTGTATTAATATTGTTTTTGTATTTTATTGTACCCTATTGTATCAATGCAATGTTTTGTGGACCCAGGACTGTAACAGACCGTTAAGCATACAAGGGGTTAAAATCCGTTTAGACGATATTCCCCTTCCAGATAGACGAGCAGCTACTGCAATTACCAATCTTCCAAACTGCAAACACATGAATACTCCAACTCCCGAACAGGAAACACAAGAATGCTGTAAACAGCCGTACAGGAAAAACCATATGAACAGTTTACACTATAACAGCATACAATCCAATTCCCCCCAAGAACGAGACGACACTTCGTTTGAGGGTCAAGCAGAACTGATTTACTGGGGCTACCTGCCCGCCTTTTATGCAGGTCTTCCACCTGGTGTACACTCCCCTAGGGGACCAGATGGAAGACTGTGATACATAGTGGACATTGACCAATCACAAGCTTACACATTTAAATACTCCCACTATGCATTATAGCCCCTCCTCTCTGTCCTGGAGATAACTGGGAAGTAATCCAATTATCTCCCAGGACAGAGGCCAAACTCCATTAGCCACATGTTAGCGAAAAGACATAAAATTACACAATGTTGCAAATATTACATAAAACATATACATTCAACATATCCCCAGATAGCTTAGATCTGAGCGCACATTATTACCGAATGGTGCTCAGATCACATACATATAGTTCAATCGCCATGGAGCCAAAGTCTTTCACATAGTCTTTCGTTACACGAATGTGCTCCATGGCATAGCTATCTGGGGGTAACACTGCTCACATAGGGAAAGTACCGAACAGACGGCGTCCGTATGAATTGCAGGAGAAGGGAGGTCGGCGGCTCAGCAGTGTTCGTGAGTTTAAATGTCCGTTTTGAGTTCCACAGTTCTGGAGCTGAACATTGCTGGCCGTTCGGGAGTTTAAGATGGCCGCTGCCACGTGTTCAGTTATACGAACATCGTTCACCGATGAAGCTGCGGTTAACCACAGCCTCTGGGAGATAAATAACTGGCACACTCCTTGCCCAGGTGGTCCCCCCATTCGTGCGTTGGTTCGGTAGATTCAATCTACTGAACGCCCAGGCAGAAATGCACGAACAAGCCTTTCTAAAGGGGAAAAGAACAGCGTTTAACATGGGGCCATAGTCCAGAGGGAGAAGGCAAGCAACCAGGCTTCTCCAGTGCCCAGTGGTGAGGTTGATTCCCCCACATCTCTCCCCTTTCCCAAAAAGACTAACAAGGTACCTGACCTCTTGTCGGTCGGTGCCTTGGTTAGTCCAGCAACCCACCCACAAAACACAATCAGCAGTGCAGCCCACCCACAATATTTGGTTACTGCACCTGGGGAAACGTGTAGTTTGCCTTGGTCCAGGGACTCCACCACGGCTGTGTGGGGTACTGGTACTCCAGATCAGTGGGTTGCTGCAAGGGCAGAAACCAGCGGTACTCTGCCCTGGTGCCAGCGCTTCAACTGAAGTAGCCTGGTTGGTGCTTCGCTGGGAAGAGGGGGTAGCATGCTCTGTTCCCTAGAACTGGTGCAACTGCTGGAGGGGGAGACCGACTGTCTCCCCTTTTGATAACCAGTCCTGCTGCTGGGGTGAGAGACCGACTGTCTCATCTGCCCCATATGGGAGAATAAGGTCTCCCCTTTGTGAAATAAGCTGCCGCTGGGGAGAGGTGGTAACCGGCTCCTCTCCCTGGAATACTCTCTGCTGCTGGGGAAAGAGGGTAAAAGGTTCTCTCTGCTGTTGGAGAGGGGGACCGACTGTCTCCCCTTTCAATACATTGTCCTGCTGCTGGGGAGCGAGACCAACTGTCTCTGCTCCCTGCAGGACACACCGCCGCTGGGAAGGGAGACCAGTTGTCTCCTCTCCCTGTAATACACTCGGCTGCTGGGGAGAGGGACCGACTGTCTCCTCTCCTAAGGACACACACTGCCTCTGGGGAGGAAGGACGGCACCTTCAGCTCCCTGGGGCTCACACTGCTGCAGGGGAGGAAGGACGACACCTTTGTCTCCCTGTAACTCACTTGACTGCTGGGGAGAGGGACCAACTGTCTCCTCTCCTAAGGACACACACTGCCGCTGGGGAGGAAGGACGGCACCTTCGGCTCCCTGGGACTCACACTGCCGCTGGGGAGGAAGGACGGCACCTTCGGCTCCCTGTAATTCACTTGACTGCTGGGGAGAGGGACCAACTGTCTCCTCTCCTAAGGACACACACTGCCGCTGGGGAGGAAGGACGGCATGCTTCTCTCCCAGTAACTTACTGGCCTGCTCTGCTTTGAACGGCAGGTACTCTTCCACTAATTTCCTCGTGCTCTGTACGTATTTCTCCTGTGGAGTGGGTCTGAAGAAAGCCAGTAGCTCTTTCATCATAACATCAAACTCCTCCTGAGTGTAACTGGGTGCCATGCTTGCTCTGTCGAAAGTTGGTTCCTTTGTAGATAGGGGCGCTGTACTGGTACTAGCGTTGCCCTCCATTTGTAATCCAGGAACTGGTGTTGCCTTGTAGCTGTCCTTCTGGGCTGTGGGAATAATCCCACTTCTGCCACCAATTGTAACGGACCGTTAAGCACACAAGGGGTTAAAATCCGTTTAAGCTATATTCCCCTTCCAGATAGACGAGCAGCTACTGCAATTACAAATCTCCCGAACTGCAAACACATGAATACTCCAACTCCCAAACAGGAAACACATGAATGCTGTAAACAGCCAAACAGGAAAAACCATAAAAACAGTTTACACTCCTGGCAGTCGCACTATAACAGCATACAATCCAATTCCCCCCAAGAATGAGACGACACTTCGTTTGAGGGTCAAGCAAAACTGATTTACTGGGACTACCTGCCTGGCTTTTATGCAGGTCTTCCATCTGGTGGACA